CTTCGCTCGACTGCCATGTATCTTTTCTTCTGTTTCACATGTCTGGCATCTGGACGAACGGCCAATTTGTGACAGATGATGCTGGGATCAATCCCTGGCATATCCTCTGGCCCCCTAGCAAATAAGATTTTGAACCTCTGGAGAATCATGACCACCCCTTCTCAGATTTCCGGTTCCAGGCCGATCCCAATGGACACCTTTCGATCGGAAGGATCGTCCAGTTCTACTTCCTCCAGCAAGGTAGCCGGCTCTGGTCGGAACATGGCCTCCTCCTGCCGGGCCATCTCCGCAATGCTGTTAATCCTCATGTCCTTCTCTGTCATCCTCTTCACCGCCTCCTTGTAGCATGCCCTTGCCGTGTCTGGATCCGTACGGGCCCCGCCCACCCTAGTTTCCGTGGGAAACTTTATGCAGGAGTGCCGCACGGAGCAGATGGCTTCCAGGTCCTCCAGTCCAGATCGTCCCAGAATGGCGTTGTGGGCGCATTTGAGCCGCACCACCACAAACGTCATGGGGATCGTTGCCCTGTGTTCGCCGTCCCCGATTTCAACCGATAGGATGATAGTTCCTTCTGCATCGATGTTGTGGTCGGTGAAACCAGCCAGGGGTGTCCGTAAGGGGCTCAAATCGGCCCTTCCCAGGTGCATTTTTTCGAACACGTCCCAGTAGAGGACATTGACGCTGCTCCCTGTATCAACCAGAACTCGTCGGATTATCCACTCCCGGATATCCATACTGACTACCAGCTCATCCCTGTGTGGCCCTGGTGTTTGCGGCAGATCCGCCATCCCAAAAGTGATGGGCTCGACCTTGTGTTTCTTGGCGAGGGGTGCGGAGATAGAATTTATTCGGAGGGCCCTCTCGAACTTCTTCCTCTCCGCCCGTGGTGAATTCACCCAGATACCCCCTATCAATGAGCTGTTGGATGGCGTACTTCAGACTTTTACAATCGTCAGTACGGTGTCCCTGTTTGCGGTGGTACTCACAATATGATCCTGCATCCCGGCCCATCATGAGCCCCTTGGTGGGTACCGGCTCTTTGAGCAGCCCCTGGTCCTTGATGGCCCCAAAGATTTGGCTGATTGGGTAGGCCAGGGGTGCCCGCCCCATGCTCATATGGGGGCCATCCCCCGTGCGTTCCTGTGCGGCCCACGGGACATACTCGCCGACCATTTTCTTCTTTTTGAGGGGTGGTGATTCCACCGGTCCGGGACCCAATCGGTCTGATGTCTTGCGCGCAGCGGGGGTTGATGCTCCGTCCCGCTGTGAGACCTCTTCTTCAATTGCTGCGAATTTGTGCGCGCGGGCCAGCACCTCGGCGTAGTTGTTCCTGGGGTTCCTTTTTAAATCCAGATAGAGGTCCCCGGTTGCCAATGCGTTGGTGAAGAGGGTGATGCCGGTGCTCTCCGGAAGATCCTCCACCTTCAAGGTCTCATCCCTCTGCCTGATCATGAAGGCAGATATGGATTCACCCTTATTCTGGTGGACGTTCGTCAGCCAACTGAAATGCTTCTTGGGCGTGGAGCTAGACGCGAACTCAGCCATGAACTGCCGGGATAGTTGTTCAAAGTTGTCGATAGATCTGGGTCTGAGCTGCCCGAACCACTCCTGTGCTGGCCCTCTAAGGGTGCTGAAGAAAAGTCTGCACACAGCCTCGTCGGAGGCTCCCAACATGAAGAGCGTCCCTTGATAAGATAGCAGATGGGCTTTGGGGTCCCCGGCTCCGTCATAAGTTAATGTTCCAGGGGGCCGAACGTCCCACGCAATGTCTACCGCCATGACCCTATCGGTGAAAGGGGGTGAAAGTGCAATCCTGGGCTGGACCTGAGCGTTCTCCGTCTGGCGATTCAGCTCATTTATTTGCCTCTGCATGTCCAGGAGCATGGCATCTTGTGGATCAGTCCCAAGGGGCGCGGGGGTTACTACTGCCAAGGTGTCCCCTCTTGGTGCAACGCCATGATTGTGTTGGACAAGGTACACTCGGGCCTCTGCCGCCATGCCACCCACTACGGGGGTATGTTCCCTAGCCGTTCCTCCATCGCGGGGCATGACCGGCGTGGGGTCCTGAAACGTGTGGCGCTGTGCTCCCCTGAAGGGCCTAGCTCCCGTGGCGCCCCCCATACCCGGAGGGCGGGTGTTCTGGGTTATTCTGGAATGGACCGAGCGGCGGGGATTGCTATTTTCGCCAGTGTGTTCGGTGAAAGACTGCATGGGACGGACGGGTGAGAGCGGGGTGTGCTCGGTATTGGCAGTGTACACATGCTCTTCCTCCCGTTGGTCCGCCAATCGGCGGATAGTGTCCACGATATCTCGCAGGGCGTTGGGGTCCCTGCGGAGTTCCTGTGGAATCAGGTCGGTGAGCATCCCGAAATCCCCTCGGCTCCATAGACTAGTGGATTGGGCCCCCGCCGCCTGGTTACGGCTCCTCCTGCTGTGAGCCAATCGTGATGATAGGTCTTGAGAATTGCCCACGTTGTTAGTGTTCATTTTGTTTGCTTTTTGGTTGTCTCAGAAATTTTAAATGGAGAGCTTGATTAAAAAGAGCTTCTTGATCAGTTTCCCCCAGACGGCGCCAGTGTTGAAGTTTATTCCCCTCAACCCACAGGCCCAACACGTAACCTGGGGGTTTCGAATGGGTAGCAGGCAAATGAACTCACTTAAACAAACGGGGGGTGGATTTAATAACTGTTTTCTTCACTATTATGATTACAAGCCGAAAGGCCGAACGTACTGATAATATACTACGTGCTGCTGATGCTGTTACAATTCTAGAGTAATGAAGTGCGAACCCTTTATAGTACCCCCTGGTGGTTGGGGGGCTGACGTGGCCGGCTGTGGGCGACATGATTCCAACTACCAAATCTTCAGCATTAAATGCGCTTCCCGCCAAGATCTTGGTTTCCCGCCATAACGCGGGGGACGTCTGTCCCCTAAACTGGACTCAACTCTTTGGTGGCAACCTGGGCCCTTAAGTATAGCCCACAGACGTCCGTCCCCTGGCCCTTAGGCCCTGGAGACCCGGTTGTGCTGGGCTACGTACGTCACCTGGCCCTTGGACCCTGAGGCCTGGCTATGATGGGCTACGTACGTCCCCTGGCCCTTGGGCTTTCCGGGGTTGATGGGCCGATCCTGGGAGGCCATTAACCCAACAGTCTAGAAATATGTCCAAAGGCCAAGGTGATGATACCAGGTTTCTTGAGAAATATAAACAAGCCTCAAAATGAGGTTCATGAGCAGAAGGGAATGAGCTAAAAGAAGATGGCATGGTTTTTTTCTGCTATCTGATATTGTTGTTGTGTTTCAGAAGGATTAGTATTGTGGTGTGGTTGATTTTGTAGTCGGGTCATGTATGATTTTCTTAAAACCATGTATGCCCAAGGGCCAAGTTTGTAAAAAATGCAAATTCTCTTTCAAAGTTAATGAAGTTTTTTGTTTATTTGATTCTTATGTTAGTAAACTTTATTAAATTGTGATTCCATATTTCCATGTATTAGAGTTATGAGGCTGCCAAACATGCAAAAGAGAAAATCAAATTAAACAATTCCAAGCTGGTGGTTTAATTTAGTGTGTAGTGTTGATCCACATATTGTTTAGCACTTTACGTGTAATGTTTTTAAGTAGATTATTTTTTAGCACTTTATCTTTAAGTATATATACCATAGGTAAAATATTTTAATTTTAACACTTTAGTTTTAATTTTTTAGCACATCAGTTTTAATACAAAGAATAGTTTTTAGCATGCAAACTATCCCATTAAACATAAGGGGCAGAAATTTAGAGGATATTAAGTAGTGTAAATATCATCTAAAAACATGCAATTGTGGTACTTAATACTACATCCGTCTGTTAAAATTTTGTCTAAATTTGACCGGCGCAGAGAATAATAAAGTAAAACTGTGTGGTTGAAGGTTATGCAGAGGAGGAGAAATATGAGGAACCACAAAATAATTGATTAAAAGGGAAAATGACAAAATTTGTTGGGACGTCCATAAAAGTAAAGATGACAAAGTTGTAAGGGATTGAGAGTATTAATTTAAAAGGTACTCGTATAAAGATATTTTTGCCGATTTAAGTGAAAACACTTCTATTACTAACGCTTCATTTTTTTAACTTTCTCAAACAAGGTAAGGTTATGTTTAATATACCCACACGGGTAGCTCAGTTGGTTGAGTGGCGGGAATTTGGATCAAGGAACCCTGGTTCGAGTCCCCGCAGCGACCGTGTGGAGGCCACAACCTCTGAAATGGGCTGGACCTCTGACGCGCACGGAACATATGTGCCTACTGCTGCTCCACCGACCGAGCCACCGTGATTTACATCCTCCCATGTGCGTTGTCGGGTCAGGGCATGAGTCTCCGGGTGGGAGATTCCACTTTTTTTTTGGATCAAGGTTATGTTTAATATTTACACTTACCTTCCTTTGTGGACCCGGACAACCCGTACTAACACTTTCGTACTTCCTAACACTTGCATCCATCGCTAACCCCTGAGTCCCTCACAACACCAACCCACCAACACTACATCCAAACAAGCCGTAATATCCCGTGACTCACCCTTCCATGTTTGCCATCCAAACATAAAAGTTGAATAATCGATCCAACCCCCACGGCTAGCTCGGTTGGTCGAGTGCTGTGAAATAGCTCAGTTGTTCGAGTGCTGAGAAAATTGGACCAAATGACTAAGTTTTGAAACCCGTAACGACCGTGTGGAGGTTACAAAACCTGAAATAAGACTGGATCTCTGGTGGACATGAGCCGGTGTGACGGAGGGGGTTGGTTTGGGGCTGTGAGGTGGCAGATTACACTTTTTGGAACAAGAATAATCGATCCATTTATGGGGGTGTTTGGAACTGATTCTGCTTCTACTTCTTTTTTAAAGCAGAAGCAGAAGCAGAATCAGAATCAGTTTTCAGAAGCTGGTACCCCCAACTTCTAAAAAAAATGATTCTAGGAGTAAATTAGAGAAACATAATCACTTCCTTCATTTTTCACTCAAAACACTCCAACTTCTGCTCCTGCGGGAGACAAGGGAACCAAACACCCCTATAATGTCTAGATTTTCGGATTTTCCCTGACTCAGGAGTGAGGACCATTGATCGGGTGTTTCCCATTTTCTCAAGCAGCAGAGACGCGTCCATAGATGGGAAGCTCGAGCACTATCATCCCCAATTTCAATCTCAACCCTTCCGGCTGCTTTAAATGCCTGAATTCTAGATTCTTAATTCAAAGAATTCTTTTACAACCGCCCCAAACAAAACCCATATCTGCCTTCTCGAGCACAAACAGATTCGGCAGAACAGTTTGCTCTGCTGTTGAAGACGCCACGGAGAAACGACAAGGAGCAGGCGGTGTAATCACCAATGGATTCGTCTCAGATAGTGAAGACAAGCTCTGTAAGTAAATATAGTACGTGATAATATGATATTGGAGAAATGAGGGATGTTGATTGTGGAATACGGAGTATTATTTTCCTTGAAAACGTTTAGTTATGTGATGTTCTTGTTTTTTTATTATACTTTAATAAACATAAATAATGACTAATATAAGACTAAAATAAAGGTAGTTGATAAAAATGTGATGTTTTTTACTCTTTAATGACTTTAATAATTTTAGTGACTCATATTAACAACTTCAAACACATTTTTGTCTATCAGTTCTAGTTAGTAATTTTTAAGGAAAAACTGCAAATCAATATTGTCTTAGCTACTATCCAAGCATTGGGTTGATCTTTAAGAATAAAGAGTATTATATTTGTATTGGCTCTACGGGGGGTTTGCTTTAGGTAATCTCACATTACCTTGGGATTCTTAATTTGGGAAGAGGGTAACATCAGATGAGTTTTTTTCTCAAGAACATCACAAATTAACTTACCAGGACAATCTAAGACTATCTTCATGTAGGCAAGGGCTGTAATGTTGGATTAATTAAATTAGTTTGCGATGGAAAGTTCACATTTGTAATGTTTTAAATATTCTGACGTCCCAATCAATTTAATAAAACAATTCAAATTGGGGAACTAAAAACGCAAGGTTTTATTACTTTTTTTTTTATAGAAAAGAAGTTTTATGTTTCTTCCAGACCAGATGATTTAAAAGACTATAGGGCCTGCACAACAGGTTGAAATGCTCATGGTTCAGAAACCAGAAGTGATTAAAACTCCAAAATAAAATGGTATGAACTATTTGAAAGCACCAATGTAGGCCTTTACATAGTTAACTTTTCCAAATCTTCAATTCTTTAAAGTAGCTAAAAAGAGACAGCAACTTTTCCTCGGAAGTTTATAGTTTTATATCTTTTGGATCTGATTGAAGTCCCAATCTTTGTTTGGCGAACTGATGCAAGTGAGACCTTGGATCATAGACCTAAGTCCCTATATGAGAAGATTATACTACATCTGCCTCAAAAAATAGTCATGGGTTATCAATGTCATTTTTGTTTTAAGTGTGGTAAGGTTACAACTCTCAGAAATGATCAATCCTACTATTTTAGTCGTTCTTTTGTTTGCTCAACTAAATCAGACATGCTTAACTTATATAGAACACTTGTGTTTTGGAAAACTTAACATCAAATTTAATGTAATTTTTAACTTCTTTTGTTTAAACATGACACTATTTTGGGACAAAAGATAAATATTGAAACATGTCTCCTTTTTTGGGACGGAGAGAGCATGTCATTGTCTATTTCTGAGTGTATGTTTTTCTCCTCACTTAAACTCAACAGTTCATTTCTTTATGCTTTGCGTGGCCATTGGCATCCATGTGAATGTAATTATGGTTATAACATCTGCAGCATTTAGAGTTATATATATATATATATATATAAATGCTGCAGATGTTATAACCATAATTACATTCACATGTGTGTGTGTGTATATATATATATTCTAAACAAAGTTTCCATAAAACACTCAAGACTTCATTCTCAAGCTACTATTAGAATTGTTGTTGATTTATGCCAAGTAGGTTAGGTTTCATCCTCAATGATAATAGTTGATGGGGGTTTGGTTCTACTGTAACTTTTTCATTTGTAGGTGGTCTATCATCATATTTTCTTATAAATATATTTAGATCAAACATATTTTTTGTAGTAAGTTGATTAGTTCCTCTGTATTATTTTGCAGATACCTCAAAAGAAAATAAACTGACCAATAAAGAATCAGATGACAGGGAAGGAAACACTCTCTATGATTTTCTTTATCCCAGTAAAGAACTTCTGCCAGATGACAAAGAAATGAGTATCTTTGATCATTTAGAGGAGTTGCGTCAAAGAATATTTGTGTCTGTTTTGGCTGTTGGGGCCGCTATGGTTGGATGTTTTGCTATCTCTAAAGAACTCATATTGTTTCTTGAAGCCCCCGTTAGTGAACAAGGTGTTCGATTTTTACAACTTGGCCCTGGCGAGTTTTTCTTCACTACTCTAAAGGTTAGTCAGGCTTTGGTTCATTTATCTTATGCTTGCTTATCATGTCCCTAGTTTACTATTGAGATACTTTTTCTGCTTTGTTTCTTCCCCAGCACATTAAGGCAATGTTTGAAACTCAGAACTGGTATGGAAAGAGAAAAAGCGCAGAGGGAGAGTTATTTTAATGTTTAGATTAATTCTAGAAAATACAAAAGGAAATTCAAATTTTTTTTTTGTTTCATTTTATTTTTACATACATTTATTTATATAAATATAGAAGGTTCATTTTGAAACCCACCTTATCATAGGAATTCGCTCGTGGTGCAACTATCACCTCTAGTCGTTAGGTTTGATGATTTTAAAATCAACTGATCACTTCTAGTGTGTGTTGCTTGGGTTACATGTTTTATATTCTCGATTTGTTGGTTTACACTGCCGTGATAAACACTCTTCTGTACTTATTGCCTCTAAATACCCACACTAAATGCAGGTTTCAGGATATTGTGGTCTTCTCTTAGGGAGCCCTGTACTTCTCTATGAGATCATAGCGTTTGTTCTTCCAGGTTTAACGAAAGCAGAGAGAAGATTCCTCGGACCCATTGTGCTAGGATCATCTGTTCTTTTCTATGCCGGAATTGTCTTTTCATATTATGTCCTCACCCCCGCAGCCTTAAATTTCTTTGTTAATTATGCTGAAGGGGTCGTGGAATCGATATGGTCCATCGATCAATACTTTGAGTTTGTGCTTGTGCTCATGTTCAGCACTGGGTTATCTTTCCAGGTAGATCTTTGCCTGACTTTGTTCTTATTACCACTCTTTTGTAGTACTGCCCAAAAAAGATTCACTAGCTTCCCACTTTCCCATTTTATTGTCGTAGTTTTCCCTATTCACCCATACTACCTTTTAGCTTTCTAAAGTGATTTGAATGTGAGCCCTATTAGAGGATAACTTAGCAAAATAAGTTACCTTTATCTGTTTTCAATAAATGATAACTGTGATAAAAGTTAAAGTCTATTATAGTTTATAATGTTACCATATTGCTTTTGCATGAATTTATTGTTATAATAAATTTTAGACCTTTAATTTATGTGGGTTCATAAACCACCCTCCCTATTTTATCTGGCGTTATTATTATTATTAATATTACTATCCTTTTGACTTCCAAATTTCCCCTTAGATTTGGGGTGAGGAATGGTGGTAGGTATGAATATATTAAATGACGGCAGTGAAGAAAATTGGAATTTTATTTTTATCAAATAAGGAAAAAGACTTTGTCTAGGGAGAGACTGAACAAGAAAATGGGACTGTTGTTTAGGAATGCACAGTACTGTAAATTTCATATCACTGATCCCATCATAGTTGAGATTAATGTGGTGCTCTCATGATGATGAAGCTGATGCAAAAACTGTGTGATGTCTGTTTCTTACTTTCTTTTGAATCGACCAACTCAAAATCAGGTTCCAGTTGTACAGCTTCTTCTGGGGCAAACCGGTCTAGTTTCTGGAGATCAAATGTTGTCTGTTTGGCGGTACGTCATTGTGGGGGCTGTGGTTGCAGCTGCTGTGCTCACTCCGTCTACGGACCCACTCACCCAAGTTTTGTTAGCGGGCCCCCTGTTGGGTCTCTACTTGGGTGGAGCATGGGTGGTAAAGCTTTCTGGGAAATAGATGGACATAAGGACCAGAAGAAAACATGTTTCTAATAGCCAAAAGATTCACAGACCCAGATGTGTGATGGCATAGGGAAGCTGGGATTGATGATCCATAGAAAGTATATCGAAACATATATAGGTAGCTTTTCATTTACTCAATTATTATCACTATATTATTTTCATGATCTTTTTCTTTCATTTTTTAAAATGGTGTACCCCAAACCATGGGGCTTTATCTGCGTCGAGGTGATTGAGAAGCATGTAAATTTTAAGATAATGGCTTAGGAAGGGTGTCTCTACACTTTTTGCAACAAAGGGGTCTTCTTCAGTTCTTCTGCTTGCCTTGGTAGGGTTTGAACCCCCATCCTGAATCTCAAAGCAATGGTGAGACTTCACCCCCTTTGTCTTCCACTTGAGCTATGTTCTGAGGAATAACCATCAGTGTCATTAAAACTGGTATGACTTCCTAGAACCATTAGTCTTTATTGTGTCAAGGCCCTAGGGTCAGAAACTATCAAGAAGCGGAGTTAGTTGGTATTGGTATCCAGTTTTAAACAATAGAGATTTTCGTTCGGAACTGGTATTGGTATCCAGTTTTAAACAATTGGTTCCCTCCCCTCTAAAAAATCACTGAAAATTTGGTTCTATACTGGACCGAAACTCAAAACGACCCAAAATAATCAACAATCGGCAGTTTTGAGTATTAGGTATGGGGGGCCAGCCTGGCCAGGAATCAAGCAAACTCGAATCGTACCGTGTCCTCTAAATCCATGGTGACTTCTTTATTACGAGGTGTGTGTAATTGTAGTTAAACTGTGAAATTGTGTTGTAAGATGCTCCACATCTGTACGTCTGTAATTCTGTGTTATAACAATATACTACGGAGTAGTATTATACCCGTGCGATGCACGGAAAAAATGAAAATAATAATTATTCGGTTGTTAAATTATTACGATGATATGATGTAACTGAATCGCACTGAATACATATGAAAACTGTATGTTGTGAAAAAACTTCCTTTTATATTACATTTGTGATCTCATCTTATGCCCCGTCGTCGTCAGAATGAAGCACTATTGGAGCACAGTTCGTGGAGCTTATATGTGGTAACCGGACTTTATCTTGAATGCAACACAGAATATTTTAGAATTTAGATACTACCTCCGTCTAGTCATGGACCCGGGCCGGTCCGACTCCGGTTCCGGGCCGGGCCCGGGCGGGCCTTTTTAGCAAATCCTTGGGCCTGGAACTGGCCCGGGTTGATACCGGGTCTGGGCCTGGTTCAATGTCTAATTTTTTTTTTGCTTTCTTGTTATTCCCGACCCCCCAAACCTCCCCAAAACACCCAGCCCTACCTTAAGAAAAGAAAAAAAATTGAAAAAAAAAAATTGACCAGGGGCCCGGCCCGAACCGCCTGGGCCGGTTCGCCCAAAACTGGGCCCGAGCCTGGCCTGCCCGAGCCGTCCAAACGGGCTAAAAGCCCGGACCCGGCCAACCGGTCCCGGTCCGGGCCCGCACAATAGCGGGCCGGTTCCGGGCCGGGCCGACCCGGTTTAGTCCATCCCTACCTCCGTCTCGATGGACTTTGCCAAGTGAAAAGTTGGTGAGAAATAAGAATAGTAAAAGTTGTGTGATTGAAATTTGTACAAAGGAAAGAGAAATGTGTAGAACCACTAATTATTTGCTTTAATAGGAAAGTGACAAAGTTTTTTGGAACAATCAAAAAAGGAAAGTTGGCAAAGTCCAATGGAACGAAGGGAGTATTTTTTATGGAAGTAAACTCGAGCAATCCTTTATTCGAACCAAATAATGCACCATAGTGGATCCATGCATACATACTTATCACCACTGTCCCAAAAGTATAAACATAAAACATAAGTTTTTTTTTGAATGACACGCAAAACATAAGATAAAATATAAAGGAGTAATTTAGTACAAATAAGTATGGCAAAAGGGTCAAAATATGTCTACTATTTCTAATCATTCATTTAAATCCTTCTAAAAAATGTATCATATGATATTCTTTTAATATAGTGACTTAAGTGATGAATTGGAAATAAAAAAAATGACCGTTTGACGGTTTTCACTAAAACAAACCTATACAAAGTTTCGTTTACAATTTTTTCAGATCTTCACAATCTATGTATTCCTCGTCAACATCAACATCATCATCATCTTTATCATACTTTGTAAGTGTTTAATAAGCGATTATGGGAAAGAATGACACTCGAAGGATGCATCATATTTGATGGCACATCATTAATAGTTTGATTTGTTAAATCTTGGAGCACTCGGTAATCCGAACTTCGATAGAAGTGTTTGGTTGATAAATTTTCCGATCATTGCTATATTGAATCTACTATGTCACCAAATACAATCTCTTCTCCCTACTTTTACTGTTTGTGTGATTTGAGTTGATAACTTTTCGGATCATCGCTATATTGAAACAACACAAAGAATATTTTGGATGTTTTTTCATGGAAGTAGATTAAATCCTCTCTTTGAACCAAATAATGCACCATAATGAGTCTATGCATACATAATTATCACCAATATCTCATATATCTACACGCAAAACATAAGATAAAATATAAAGGAGTATTTTTGTACAAAATCTGGAGATTGGGTTAAGTATTATGTTATATTTATCATAGATACAATATTTTAGAGATGTACATGATCATCAATCTATCATTATTTGGTTTTTTAGCGGCAAGTTAATCTGCCATGGCTAACATTTTTTATTTTGGATAGGTAAGCATCTTTGAATAAAGGAAGTTGCTGAACAAAAAATCTAAACACAACTGTTGGTTTTATGAGTAATCCTTATTGTCCTTTCCCCTGTTTATTATCACCAATTTTTGTGTGAATTTTGAATATAATTCTTTTTTGGAATAACACTAACCGTACATTAAATTAGTACTCTCTCCGTTCCTATTATATCTTCCAACTTTCCTTTTTCATCCGTTCCAATTAAACTTCCACTTTCCCTTTTCGATAAAGAATTTGTGGTTCACAACATTTCTTACACATTTCTCTCTCATCTGCACAATTCTCCACCACACAATACCCACTTTTCTTAAATTGTGTGCCAAAGTGAAATGGAAGATATAAGAGGAACGGAGGGAGTATGTAACTACGTAGTACTTAAGTACTTAACAATAATCCTTAAGGGTAAATGTTGAAACAAAACAACATGTTAGTCAAATATAATTATGTTTAAGACATTTCGAGAATATTTCAAACAGATAAATTTTTAAAAGTACACTAGGAAAAATTAAGAATATTTTTAAAAACAACCCATGCAAAAGTTTCTCTTAACGGAAGGTGAAACAAATTCTCTTAGTCCCAATTACTTTGGATTCAATGATTTTACTAAAATTTCTTATATGTTTAAACTAAAGTTTCTTATATGTTTAAACTAAAATTTCCATGAGAACAACATGTGTTAGATGATAAGAAAGCAATAGACACCGTAAGAGTCTTTGATAATAACAAATAAACAGTTGATATTACTACGTATAAAAGTAGATCTTTAACTGTAAATGTATTAGTCTTAGCTTACTTTACCTTAATGTCCAATGCTTATCTGAAGAAGTAATGTACATCACCAAACCAAAAGCTGGGACATCTAAACACCAAACATGTATAGAGATCATATTTCTTACGACAACTATGATAACAATAAATATATAATTTGTCTTGTGCATAGATCTGAAAATAAAAATTTTAATATTTCAAGTTTTTGCTTCTTTGTAGCCATCTCATTGGACTGCACCTGTGATGAAGTTGTAAAAAGGTGAAACTATATTTGTATGAGGACGGTATTGATGGTTGTGTTACTTGTGTAGATTGTTAATCTCAAGCCTTGTTGTGGGAGAACAGTTGGCCAACTTTGTTATACGTCTGTGAGCAATGTGATGCACGTTTTTTCATATATACCTTTTTGAAAAGTGTAATAGTTGGATTTAATTATTAAGGGCTGTAATTAATCACAATTATTACTCCTCTTTTACTACTACTTCGTTCCCCACCTCTACATTTATTTTGTGCTACATTTTTTTCCGCACAAATCCTCCTTGCCCATCTTTGAGACTTTTTTGTTTTACTATATATATAGATATATATAAAATGATAGAACTCTAAGAGTTTCCAGATTTCTATCTAACAAGATAATCAAGAAACTGATCTTTCATTCAACTGTCAGAAAGAATTACAAAAGTGATAGTTTCTGGGCAAGTTTGAGAGTGCAAGAGCACTCCAAAGTTCTATTTTCAAATTCAATAACATCCTGCCTTTATTCCTCCCCTCCCCTTCTATTTATACTAAATGTACACTTATTATTATTATTATTATTATTATTATTATCATTATTATCATTATTATCATTATTATCATTATTATCATTATTATCATTATTATCATTATTATCATTATTATTATTATTATTATTATTACTACTACTATTATTATTATTATTATTATTATTATTATTATTATCATTATTATCATTATTATCATTATTATCATTATTATCATTATTATCATTATCATCATCATCATTATCATCATCATCATCATCATTATTATTATTATTATTATTATTATTATTATTATTATGATTATTATTATTATTATTATTATTATTATTATTATTTGATGGAGTATATGGCCCAGGAACCCCCGGTCCATAGACTCCCATTACTGAAGCAGAGACCCAATAAGGCCAGGGAGCACAAAAGGTCCAACTCATAGCGCCCCAAGTGCCAAACAGCCCACGGCAAACACTGGTGTGCCTTCGCCCCCCTAGCCGAAGGCTAATAAACTCACAATGCAGCTTCTTTTGAGCACTCAAAGTGTCTGGGAGAAAGCGGCTAAAACACTAGCCCTCGGCACCTAGAGCCCTCGGCACCTAGAGGCCCCCGATATGAAGAGCCTTCGACCAATCATCTACGGCTGAAGGCATCTCCTCGACAGAATCTCCCACCCACATGCGCTGGATCAATGTACCGAGTACAAACGTCACATCCAACCACCGCATTTAATGCGGCCACATGCGAGTGCCAGTGCCACCCCGTTGAGGTGACCCCTCGACCACCAGAATGATGACACGTGTCTCTATCTGGCATTTATTACTACTATAAATAACACACCTTTTCCCCATTTGTAATCCATGCTCAATACGCTCAACACATTCTCGGCAATATATGTTCTCTCTCTTACTTTTGCTCTGACTTCTCTCTAGTTATTCCCCGCAGTAACCCCTCGGATAGATACCCCCCGGGTATACTTATCCATCATTTGGTGCTCTCGTTGAGAGGTCGAACAATCAAGTAAGAAACCCTCCCCTTCAGCTAAAAACACCTACTAAAATGGGAAGAACCACCCGTGCTCAGTCCAAGAACCTTGAGGACAACAACCTGGCCCTCGGTGAAGTCAACGCCCTGGAGCCTCTAACAAGGCTCCCGAGGGCGGGGTCATCACTGAGTTGGAACAGGCTGCTGTTGACCTGCACCTTCAACTCCAACAAAACGCTCCCGATGCCCGCCTTGGCATCGAAACCCGAAGGAGGGACCGAAGCGAAAATCAAGTGATCCCTCCGGTTCTCACTATCGACGTACATTCGGCATTCTCTGCCTTCATCCAGACACTCACTCAAAACCCAGGTGCCTTCGGCACTCTGGTGCCTCTCCAACCGCAAATCGGGGAGAACGCTGTTCTTCTCCCACGACTAGGGCTGGGGAAAAATACCGAAACGGCCGAAATACCGCTCTTACCGTACCGAAAAATACCAATTTTACCGAAATATTTCCTTACCGTAAATTTTGATAAGGTATGTTACCGTACCGAATTATTTCGGTACGGTATCGGTATGTATCGTATAAATTTTCGGTATACCGAAATACCGTAATACCACATATATATTTTTCTTTTTATTTACATATACTTATTCACTATGGCTCTTGAGTAAAAAACAGTCCACTGCCCCAATATACGTATTAGCCTAGCCCAGTTCAGCCCAAAATAAACTTCTCCAAAATCCTAACTCCTAATCCAAACTCCAAAGTCCAAAGTCCAAACTAGTTGTGTAGCCTGTCAGCCTGTGTTGCCCTGTGGGAACTGTGGACTGTGGAGTTACGATTTACGAAGGTCGAAGAACGGGACTGGAACTCTGGAAGAGCCGAACGAAGAAGAGATAGGGTTTCACAGTTCCAAAGAGGTCTTCATCTCCACTCTCCAATACCTAATCGCTCTTGACGAAGGTACTCTTCACCCCATCCAACTATTACTTCATATCTTAATCGTAATAATATATCACCGTTGTAAACCCCTGCTCAAGTATGTAATCCATCGATCTTCTCTCTGGATGAAATAGCTATTGCTCAAATATATCAGTTCCATCTATCTGTTTGCTTTCTTCAGAACCATTTACCCCTTTGATACGAAAAGGTATTCTCCATCTGAGTTGTAATATGAAAACATGATTTTCTCTTGAAAACACCTGTAACTTTTAATATTATTTCAGTAATATTTGGTCTAGGTTAGAATCTGTGATGATTTATACATCTAACTTTTATGGCTATTTAACATCTCATAAACTAATGATTTGTTTTGATTTCAGAAGTAAGAATGGAATCCCAGTCATCTCATTCTCTTCCAATTCCATCTGAATCACCCAATATGATTGAATCTGAAACACGTGAAGCTGCCACTAGTCGAAAACGAGCAAGGAACAAATCAGCAGCACTTAAGCTCCCAGTTTCTGAATCTCGAAGCATCTATTGGAGTCATTGTCAAAAAGGGTCAAGGACCTTGTTGGATGGCACTGTTCAACCAATCGGAACGTGCACGTATTGTCAAACGCAGATCCCAGCGAGTCATGGAAGTACCAGTGGGTTGAAAAACCACTTAGAGAAGAGGTGCAAATCAAGTCCCTTGTACAAAGCAAGTGGAAGTGACAAAAGTCAGTCTGTATTAACGAATGAGACAATGGGACAGGTCAGTGAATTGGTGTCTCATACTTTCAATCAAAAAAGGTGTGAGTTGAAGGTTACTCAATATGTTATTATCGATGAGATGTCATTCCGAGCTGTTGAAGGGAAGGGCTTTGTGAGTCTTGTGCATGAACTACAACCAAGATTCAGAATCCCAGATCGTAAGAAGGTGGCAGGTATGATTTATGACTTATTTTTAGTTGAGAAAGCTAAAATAAAAAGTGTCATAAGTGGGCAAAGGGTAAGTATCACAACTGATGCTTGGACTTCCATACAAAATATAAATTACATGGTTGTTACTGCCCACTTTTTGGACAGTGATTGGAAATTGCACAAAAGAATAATTAATTTTACAAAAATCACAAGTCATATTGGGGAAGATATTGGTAAGGTGGTTGAGGTGTGTCTGAGAGAGTGGGGGATTGAAAAAGTATTTTCGATAGTAGTTGACAATGCTTCTTCAAATGATACAGCTATTGACTACTTGAAAAAGAGAATGAAAATCGAAAATACATTGATGTTTGAAGGAAAGTACTTGCATTTGAGGTGTGGATGTCATATACTCAATTTGATTGTTAAGGATGGTCTCAAAGAACTCAATGATTCAATTGAATCTATAAAGAATGCGGTTCTTTTCATTCATTCTTCACCATCTAGGTTGCATAAATTTAGAGAGTTTGCCGTATTAGCGAAGTTTTCTAATACATCAACTGTGCCTATGGATGTAAAAACAAGATGGAATGCAACTTATAAAATGCTTGAAGTTGCATTGAAGTTTAGGAGAGTGTTTGAAAGGATGGCTGAAGAGTGGTTACCATTTATGAAGTACTTTCGTGAAAAAAATGAAAAGGGTAAAGTACGGGTAGGGCCTCCAAGTCATGACAATTGGGAGAATGCTAAAGCTTTTGTGCACTTTTTAAAAAAGTTTTATGATGTAACCTTAGAGTTAAGTGCATCAAAAACTCCCACCTCTCAATTGCTTTATCAATCCATGATTGCACTACAAATTGAGATAGAAAAAAAGAAAAATGACAATTCTGACCCAATTCTCAAGAAGGTGGCTAGTGTAATGATGTTGAAGTTTCAAAAGTATTGGGGCGAGTGGAATACTATGAATCCTTTAATTTTTATTAGCAATATTTTGGACCCAAGAAACAAGCTTCAGATGATTAAAGTCAGTATCAAGAAGCTGCCAGCTACTTCTATAAAGGTCCAAGATTTTGTTGATAAAGTCAAAAGTGACTTAGCGACTCTGTGGGCAGAATATAAAGGCATAAATGAGACCACTAATGTTGAGCGGCAAAGTATGCAATTGGAGTTGGAAGGTGGAGATGGTACTAATAATGCAGGTGATGGTCTTTGGGATGAGTTGTTTACCGACGTTGAAGCACAAAATGAAGAAGAGCAACTCCAAGAGATTTCTAATGAGGTAGATAAGTACCTAGCTGATGAGATTGAGAAGAGATCTAATCAATCTTTTAATCTTTTGGAGTGGTGGAAAGGAAGTGAAACTAGGTATCCAATTCTTTCATTGATTGCAAAAGATATTTTTGCAATACCAAGTTCAACAGTTGCTAGTGAGTCTGCTTTTAGTTTAGGTAAAAGAGTTGTTGATCCCTTTAGAAGCAGTTTAAGTCCTAAAATGGTTGAAGCTTTGATTTGTACGAATGATTGGTTAAGAGCAGAGGATTTCAGCTTTTATAAGGATCCAACAGATGATGACCTTGACTTGTATAAAGAGATTGAAGAAATTGAAAAGAGTAAAGCTTTTTTATTGCATTAACTTTAGATTTAAATGATAAATTTTAATATTAATCTAATGCATCTTTATATTTCTTCTACAGATGCAAATGTGACTCAAGAACGTTCTCAGACTCAGCTGCCAGTATGAATGCATGGTTTCCATTGGGTAAAATCATTTGCGCAATACTTACTGCTTTGAGATATGTTTGGAGCCTGCTTTTATTTACTCCAGTAATAATTTTAAATGTTTTTCAGTTTTCATCTAGATAGATATGTATGCAACCAGTACTACTTTTATTTAGTGCAAAATATTTGATCAGTACCACGCTCGTGCCCTGAACTTTGAGCCTTCAGAAATTTGCACAATAGCTTGACTCTCTGGATTAAAACCCTTATTTTGCACAATAGCTTTACTATTTTGTTATTTCTCCATTAATTGTTTTTTCACCTTTTTCTTTCTCTTTTCAGAGCTCAAGGAATGATTAAACGATAGCCATGAGTTCAGTGATCATGTGGATTTCAGATTTCGAGCTGCTTCATCTATTTTGCTTTAATGAATTCTATGCTATAATTTCATTTAAATATGTACTTGAATTGTTTTTTTGTCAGATTTAATGTGCTTTGACATTTTAAATTTGCATTGCCTTGATTCCCTTGAGCCTTAGATTCTTGAATAGGGTTGAACATGATTGTAAGTTTTTCATATTTTTTGTTTTAAAATTGGTATTTATTGACTTCGGTCCTACAAATGTTTCAAATTATGTTGTTGATGTTCCTATGCTAGAGAATCTGTCATTTAGGGGCTGGAGAATCTGTCTATGATATTTATTGTAGGTTTTTGTTAATAACTTTCGAATTTATTATGTAAGATTTTAGTGTGACAAGTCATTAGATTTTCGGTATACCGATATGAATTTCGGTATACCGAATATACCGATTATTCGGTACGACATCAATATGCTATTTGGGGTTACCGAAACTTCGGTATACCGAACCTTCGGTATACCGAAATTTCGGTACGGCAACGGTATGCCATTTTCGTATACCGGTATTTCGGTACGGTATACGGTATGACACAAATTTTTCGGTATGCCATACCGAACCAGCCCTACCCACGACCACCCCCCTTCGTGAACCCTACCCCTCGGGTGGGGAACGACGAAGGGGTCGTGGCTCAAGACATCGCTTCCCAGGAGGTCCAATCCCGGGACCAACGCGGTGCGAACAAAGAAAGGCCTCAGACCTCAGCCCTCGAGAGGCTCGGAGGAGCGCAAGACCGCCGAGGGGTCCAAGACTGCCTCGGTGGAAAGGCGTCCCAAAGACCCCAAGAGAGCGGGGGATCCGTCTCAAGGGCAGACGAGAGGCGTCCCCATCAGGACAAAGGCAAGGCACCACTTCATGCCGATGACGCAAGACACCAAATCAATCAGGCCCACTCGGCCCGTGTTCGTTCGCAGGGGGCGGAGGCCCTCCCGAAGGATCCCAGGGACGAAATCATTGCAGCCCTCTAGCGCTGGCTTAATGAGATGGAGCCTCATGATAAACTGATTTGATAAATTCACCAAAAATCACACGTTCATAAATTCCCAGAAAAGCATACATCATCATCTCATACTATTATAGCCGAATTATCCATAAAATTTCAGAAAGAAACTCAAATCATAGCACAAAACCTAGTTTATACAATATAGGGGCAAAATAGTAATTTTGGTTGCAATAGTCCTTACCAAGTAACGCCACTCGCAAGTCAACATGTCTTAATCATACAAGGCGTCCATGAACATAATATATATCCATACTCAGTAGTAAACATACACAACAACATCATAGTTTAGATTAGTTGAATAGCGGAAATATTCAATAATCAATCGTGGGCCACACACGGCCAAAACGTAGGCTCGCAGGCCAAAACAATGTATTAATACAAAAGTATCCATGAGCATAGTTTATCTTTTGAAATAGTAGAGGGAACACGAACCACGTCTTCCTCTGGATTCTCTTCACCCGTGCAAAGGTGTAGATGACAAGCCTTAACTTCAACCTGAAATGGTGGGCCCCCCCGAAGGGGTCAGTACAAGTACCGAGCGAGTAGCAGGCTAAATATAGAATAACTAGCGTTTCAAGTATAAGACCCAAACATAGGGTGATACTTATATAAATAGTCTCCCCCCAAGTTAATAAATACTTAGTAGTACATATACACTTGGAAAATACCCGATCCGTAGATCACCGTTTTATTTGGGAAAATATTAATAGTCAATATCCTTGACTAAAAAAAAACCCAACCCACCCATATGCCTATGAGTGTATAGGACTCCTCCTTGTCCATACTTCAATATCATAATCTATGAGTTTTGAGGATCATAATCCTTGGGTACTCCACCAAATTGTATTTGAGTGTTAAGGACTTTTAGTCCTAGGGTCCTCCACCAATTTATTATCCGAGTGTTAAGGACTTTAAGTCCTAGGGTCCTCCACCAATTTATAATCCGAGTGTTAAGGACATTAAGTCCTAGGGTCCTCCACCAATTTATAATCCGAGTGTTAAGGACTTTTAAGTCCTAGGGTCCTCCACCAATTTATAATCCGAGTGTTAAGAACTTTAAGTTCTAGGGTCCTCCACCAATTTATATATATTTCGAGTGTTAAGGACTTTAAGTCCTAGGGTCCTCCACCAATATATAATCCTATGATCAAGCTCCTATCAATCTAGATAGAGACTATATCATATTTATTCATTCATAGCTAAATCAATACATAAAGCTTACGGATCACAATCCATGCAAAACCATGCATTTATATAAATTTATTATTAACTAATACCAACCGGTATTAATTAATCCATTATCCGTCGGTCAACGTTTTAGTTGACCGCCATTTCAAGCCTTGTACATATCAACTTAATCATCATATATACATATTAAGTTAACAATGTTTATTCTCTATTTCCTTTACCTTTCAAACATAGTATGCAATTCCATAGAAACTCTCATATCATATTTCATGCATATTCATGTACTTCATTTCATACATGCCTAATCATTTTGGCTAATCACATGTTTCAATATCTTTTAAACATCATTATGAATAAATATAACATTCATTTAGGTAATCTCATAATTAACCCAAAAGTTATAAGATATTAAGCCATCCACTCACCTTAAATAAGCTTTAGCGCGTTCTACGCTTCTCGGTTGGATTCCGGCGAAACTCCAGTGAACTCCGGAGAAACTCCGGCAAACTCTAGAAACACTTTCTTTATGTTCCTAACATGTTTTTATCATCACAAAACTCATATCAATACAAATAACCTCTAAAAGGTTATTTTCCGACGAACCGGTCATTTTGGCTTCTAAGTCCGTTCTTGGATTTAGAACTACCTTCCAACAACTCATTCTACATTTCTAAACATGTAGAACAAGCCTAGGGATTCCTCACATGCTACATAAGCCACATGATAAATAAAAGGTAGAGGAAAGGTTATTATAAGGTTATTACCTTAATCACCACACATTTCCCTAACTTTTTCCTTCTTTTAATCTCCCTCCTTGGACCTTGTCTTCTTGAGCTCACTTGGATATGGAGGAAAATGAAGTTGCAGAGCTTATTCCTCTTACTTGGAGTGTGCTTGGCCGAAAATGAGGGGAGAGAGGGATGGGGATGGGCTTTTGTCTCATTAATCCAATGAGTGTAGAATGAGGGTCCACCTTAGGTACTTTGATGCCATTTTCTTCATATCATAATCCTCTCCCCATATTTCCTTATCCCACCAGCCGGCCAACACTCTATTTGAGTGTCTAAATTCGTGGGTTGGCCCCCACTCATGTGGGAGGTCAACCCTTTTTGTCCCGAAATGTACAATCGGTCCCGAAAGTTGTATTTTTTGGACTGTTTAAATTATATTTTATTTATCAGGTCAAATAAAATATAATACGTGTTCCCAACCGTAATGGCCTCTTGAAATAATATATGTTACAAAACATTAATTCAGAAGTCTCCGAAATTCATTTCCGGGCTGTTATCTGTTAAATTGTCGGTACCAATATTTGGGCCTCATTTGCCCAATCGGTCAACTCTGGGCCTTCCCATGGCCCAAATGAAATATCCACCACTATATATTTATTATCTAGACCAAAATGAATAAAATGTATGGTTTCGGGAACGTTGGGCGGCCCCCGCTCCCGGTGTGGGCCCCACAGGCAATATACTATTCGCACGAAAGAAATAATGGAAATTTACAACTTCGTAAATTCATTAACCATTTAACAAGGTTCATTACATTAATTTACTTAAAAGTAAATATAATTGGGGACGGTGTTACAATACTCCCCAAGTTGTGAGGGACAACTACCAGAGAACAACAGATTGACAATAGCATTGATAGAACTAAGGACATCATTACCAATGGCTGCAGCTGGGCCTGTAAGTATATCAATTAAATGTTGAGCATGAAGACCATCTCTACCACAACTGGTACCTTTGGAGAAGCTACATAATCTACTAAAAACCATATCAGAAGATGCAATAAGAGGTTGCACTTCATGGAGTTCAGTGGAAAAAGCAGGTGGGGGAGCAGAGGAGTGTTTTGACTGAAGAATAGCTAGAGTAGCTTCATTTGGGGGAGCAACAACATTTGAAGTAAGAATCCTGATAGCAGCAGTATAATCACCTGTAGGTAGTTTCCTTTTACAAAGCTATATGTTAATATTAGCCTAGCTCTTCACAGATGCATGCCTAGACTGAGACATGTGGTCATCAAGCAAATCCTGGACAAGATCTAGACACCCCTCACCTGTACCCCACTTATGAAGAGCTTGATGAATAGCTCTAATCCGTAATTTCCTCCTATTGTCAGATCTTTGTTCAGCACAGGTTTTAGGAGAATAGACCCTCAAGATGCAAATAGGGAAAAGAAGAAGTCTAACCCACCAAACAATGATGATTATTATCATCATCATAATCATCATCATCATCATCATGATGATGATGATGATGATTATTATTATTATTATGATTATTATTATTATTATTATTATTATTATTATTATTATGATTATTATTATGATTATTATTATGATTATTATTATGATTATTATTATGATTATTATTAGGATTATTATTATTATTATTATTATTATTATTATTATCATTATTATTA